ACAGCACCTCCCTCAGTACTGACGAAATTCTTTCCTATCTGCAAATCAACTTTTCACCAGAGGCAGAATTTTCATGTTTATCTTCAGTGATACCAATTCTTATCTTCAGTCAGAACATTTATGTTCTCCATTCTGTTGCTTTGTTTTTGTTTTTTAGTAAAAATAAATTAATGTGAATCCACAAAACTCATCAAATAAATCCAGAATTATTTTAAACTTCTGAAATATTTCTGCATTCTAACTGCGCAAACAAAATAAATAACAAAACATATTTTTTTATGCTTAGAACAAAATTTTTATAGAAAAAAATGTTTCTGAAAATGACAATCAGAGCTTGATGTATATAAAAAGGTTTAAGAATATGCTCTCTAATCTATATATGAAAATGTCTTTCTATTGCTAATTGCTAATATAATTTCTAATACATTTGCAAAATCTTAGTTGTATGGGACTTAGCCAAGAGCATCACCAGTTTGTCGTCTATGAAGTTTTCTGTTCCATTGTGCTCTTTAATAATGTTGTCAAATACTAAAATGGTCATATCAATGTTTTACTCTAACCTAGCACACAGACTTTATCAAAGCAGAGAAGCAAATAATATTCAATTTAATATCTGAAAATGCTTTAATTTTGGCATTGCACACAAAATGTTACGGTATTTTAAGAGGGGCTGAAGAAGTCATGGTTTAATCACATTAAAAGCCTGTGAGGATACTTTGATGTTTCTGGGCAACTGAATATAATAATGGACAACTGCACAACAAGGTTTTTGGAGAAGTACCAAATAACTGAGCAGAACTGTAAATATCAGCACATACAATATTAGCCCAACTGAGGAGGCTTCTGAATGTAAAACTGAAATAGGATAGCAGATTTGCATTAGTATTATGTATTTTATATATACTCCTTAGAAGGAGCACTGAAAATTATTCAATTTATCTTAATGTTCTGTATTTTTGCTCAGGAAGGTACAACAAAGGCTTTCATATATCATTTTAAAAGTAACATTGATGCATAATATTGCAATATTGTCCACTGCTGCCAAAACTCTATCAAATTGAATACATGGTATGAATGTTCAATTACGTAGCTTAAAAATGACAGATTTTTTAAAAACAGAGAAAAAATAAAAAATAAAAAATAAAAAAGGGTGTATTAGTATGTATTAGTAAGAAACAAATTGTGAATCTGTGAAACATTATGTGACCTATAAATGTTGAGACAAAGACCTTCAATAAGGGTGTATGCACATTTGAAGCAGCTATTATAATGAAACGTCAATATAATAGAGACGTCATACAATAAATTACCAGGTGTTACTTTTGAACAATTACCATAAACTTAGTCTTCAGATGAAACACTATAAAACAAACTGTAAAAATAATATATAGAAAAACAAAACAAAACAAAACCACTGTTTATAAAAATTCATTAGAGAGGAATACAAATTACAGCATTATTGTTTAATTAATTGGAATAGGAATTATAAACAAGTATTATATTTTTCAAGATAGGAATCAACATAAGATTAACAGATTCTGATCCCTTGGTTTCATTTAAGGAAGTATTTATGTTATATTATAATTTAAACTATAAACAAATATATCATAATGCAACCCTCAATGACCATGAAGAACATTCTGGGCATTCATGGTGGGCAACAGTGAGAAAAGCAAATGTTGTGAAGACACACCAATCACTAAGATTTTTTGGGTGACTAAAGTGTGAACACGGATGGTGTATTTATGTTGAGCCTGTGAATACACAGATGTCCACATTTACCTGTCTTGAGTATTCCGAACCCTTCAAGTCCCTTCAGTTTTCCTGCTCCTATACCATCAGAGGCAGAGGGACAAACATGACATTACCTGTTTAAAATGACTGTGACCTGCTTTCTGCAGACTTCGCAAACCAAAAAGTTTGTATTTACTGTTTTTCCCAGAGGAAAAACAATTTAAAGGGAAATTGACTTTGCAGTAAACAATGACTCATCCTTACTTCCCACCCACAGAAGCCATTTGGGGGTTTTGTTTTTAAATATTGAATTGGCAAAAAATATTATACTCTCTGTGGGGACAGTACTGGTCATTGTTGTTAAGAGTGTTTAACATTTTCAAATCTAAATGACAAAGTAGTCTTAATGCCACCCTACAGAGCCAGTCTGCCTTCTCAGCTGGATCAAAAGAAAATCGTTTTTCCAATGGCTAGACCTCTCATACATTCCCTGAATGAATTCAGTTCAGGGAAGCTTGAAGAGGAAACCTTTCTTTTGAATTCAGCAAGACTCAAACCATGATGATAAAGATCATTCTGTGAAGCCAGAAATGCAAACAAATTACTTCCAGCCTGGGTAATCTTTGAGTTTCAGGTAGGCATGCAGAGATGTATGGAAAAGCAGCTACCACAAAGAATTACAAAAAGGAAGCCTTATTACTGTGAGCAGACTCCTGTCTCTTTCTGGATCCTATCAGTTAGTGAAACTCAAGCCCTGTTTTCAGTAGAAAAATTGTCCTCATTTATACATGTCATACACTTTCTAGTACTTTAATACTCTTTTCTTGACTAAGAACAGGGATGAAGAACATAGAACAGTTTATAGGTCTTAACATCCCCCGTGGCTCCCTCACCCAGCTCATATTATGTTGATTTACCATAAGCAAAATTTGTAGGCAAAGCAAGATTTGTCACTGTGAAGGGAAATGAGATTGCTCAGCAATTTTACAGATATAATTTCTTCCTTAAAATACCATGAAACTTTTAATATATTTTTTTAATACATATTGCAGACTTTTTAGTGGGCAAAAATACCTGCCTATAGATAAAAGGTGGAGATTCTTTATTCTATTACAGTTTTAAACTTTATCTGCTTACCTGCAATGGCAGCCTGAAGTTTCCTCTAAAGCCTTTGTAATGTTCCAGTTCTCTCGGTGAGATTTACTAATATATAACCTCAAAAGTTTAGTATTCACTGATCTAGAACAGGCCTCAGAACCCACAACCTGTAACAAGTTTTGGACATCTTGCCCAGGAGTACAATCCAAATTATCCCACATATGCAGAAAATCGAATCAAATCAAATCAAATCAAATAAATAAATAAAATAAAATAAAAATCCAGTGCCTTGTAACAGGACAGTCAACACAATGAAACTGTACATGTGCAGACAGATGTACAGGGATGATTTTCCATTGTTCTGGAAGTAATAGCTCTGATCCATCTTCTAAACTGAAATCATGTAGCCTGTTTGAAATCATAGACCAGCAGGCAGAACAGGCAGAAATCATCCTTTTTAAAAACAAAACAAAACAAAACAAAAACTGTTACCAGAATCCTTGGAGGACACTGGTTTATGCCTGACATGATCATAATCCACCTTTCCAACATCTGAAAGAGAAAGAAACTTAGTGATCTAGGGGGCCATACTGTTGCATCATCAGTCAGATGATCCCTTCCATCTCGTTGTAACATTATCTTAGACAAGAGTATAATAATAACCTTTTTTTTTTTCTTTTTTTTCTTTTTTTTCAGGTTTTGAGTCATCTGGCAACATGGCTTTCCAACTGCAATTGCTGGAACTATTGAAGCAGAAGCAAAGAAGACCATCAAAGGACATACTGATTTTTGTTGACTTAAACCACTTGGGTAAGAAGTACATGGTGTGAACCGGCACAGGTGTTTTCTCAGCCTGAAAAACCTTTGCCATTGAGTCAATTTCCCCCATGGCATGTTCATTGTGGAAATTCACTTTTTTTTTTTTTTTTTTTTTTCAGGAGTGGAAGCACAACATTTCTTTCTAATTCCTTGTTTCATATTCTAAACTCTAGTCTAGGTAAGAAATTTTACTTCAGTTGCTATTCTCTCTATTATAAACACCACAAAATACAATTTTATTTTACAAACATAAAATAATGTCTTTAATGTATAACTAAGCTGAGAACTGCAGTAAATTAAAAAAAAAAAAGTTATGAAAGCAATGATTTTAAAAATGCAAATTAGAAGTATTAACATTAATCCTCAGTTTTATGGAAACAGTAAACTGAAATGATAACTGATACAATTAAATAAAATACATCTCTTACATCATGGCAATTTAAATCCAGATTCCTCCTGTTGAGCTTTCAATTGAAAGGCCAAAGGTGCTCACAAATTACAAATTGCAAAGTACAGTTCAGATAACAATTTTAAACAAATCTTTTACTACCATTACAAATAAGCAACAGAAAATTATAGAAACTGTGTTGGAGGTGATTCTCCTTCAAAGCCTTCCACAATCCTATGTCTCTGAATGTCAGAAAACTGGATAAGGTTAAAGTCTTTGAAGGACATCAACATGTGAATATAAAATACACTACCCAGAGCTCATGCGTTGGTTACACTCTTACTGCTACTACATTAAACAGATGCATTCAAACACAGAAGACACGCACTGAAGATCAGGAAGTACGATCACAGACAAAACCTTACGAAAAAATAACACTTTGACCTGTACTTACTTTACAAGTGGTAAACACAAATGCAGGAAAGAAATGTGTCTGTTTTGAAAAATACATTTCAGGAGATGTTCACAATGGGTGCAAACAGTTTCCATAGACTTGTTTGTCCCCTCTCTGCCTTTCTGGCAAATTCTCCTCTGTGTCCCTTTCTTTCAATGAGAAAATGTTTTACTGAAGAGGCTTTGGCTCCCATCCTTAATGCTCAATGATTTGAGCTACTGAGCACTCATTATTGAAATTAATGCAAATTAAGCATGTCTTAATGGCATCAATTCAGGATAGCATCACTCTTTATGTCAGTACATAAGCACACACTTTTCTAAATTCTGGCCTAATTACAGTACTGATTAGGAATAGGTTTAAGCATGTCTTTAAGCAGTAGTGGTTAGAATAATAGGACTCCATATATTGTAATCCCAGCTATCAGCAAATGAGTTTTTTTCCAGGTAGATTTCAAAAATGGTCACAGCATCTAAGCCTAGGTAACCATTGTCTCTGTTTCTTGCCTTTTTTTTTTTTTTTTGACCAATGCTTAGAGTTCTTGTAATTTATAGTTTACATGCAAACTGGAAAAAAAAAAAAACACATAGGACTAAAATAACACATTTATTACATGCTAAGTTACAGTTCACTGCATTCCCATTTCAATTTGAACTCACAGTACTATGGGAAACTGAAATGATTTCATCAGAAACAAATGAAATACACAGAAAAGTTTGTCAACAGACAGAAGCAAGTGCATCTCTAAACAAAAGTCATAACATTCAATAGATTTAATATTTCATTACATTGTTTTATAGAAATTAAAGATGAAAGACTTTTTATCCATCCCTCCTTTATTCAGGATGTTTTCTGTTGCCCAGGTAAATCACTGGAGGTTGATTGGCAACTGACAACCAAATAAAAAAACTAACTGGATATGCTGTGAAATTTGTATTTCCCCTTGCAAAGTGACAAGTTCTTTCAAGTCCCTGTTGTTTAAAGATAAATGAATGACAAGCAGGAGCTCACAAAAATTTGGACCTGTATTGAGTAGCAAGTAGAATGACTTTCAAATATGCATCTAACATACTGCTACTGAAGCCACCTTCATCCCTCCTACAGAGGAAGATGTTTAGCGTGCTGTCAAAAAACATCACACTGCACTATGGAATTAAAACTGACATATTTCCATTGTACTGAACATTTTCTGAAAATGAGAATCTAAAGAAACAATAACATTGTTAATGATGCTGCACTTCTACCCTCAGTCTACCAGTCAGAGGAAGTAGGTGCTTAGAAAGGTCATACAACAGATGATGTTTGGCTAAATAAAGAAATAAAGCTTGAACTAAAATGTGATCTTCTCAGTCACACTTGCTTCCAGAATCACCGCACACAGTCTGGCATTCTTTATTAAACTTTGGGGCTGAACACTGCAGTAACTGTTCACATATGTACTGAACATCTTATTAATTCTGGTACCAACTAGCCTATGAAAATCCATTACTTTTTTTCTGATAAAAATTCAGAGGAGGTAGCACATTCAGAAATATGGGGGAGGGGGTGGGAAGGTGGCTTCTTCCATGTATCATTTTCTATAATTAACCATTAATCATGTCTTTATCTCTAGTACCGAGCATCCTCACCTACAGCCAAATGTTAATCCCATTAATCCTCTTTAAAGATCTGTAAGGTTTTCTGTGTAATTCTGACTTCTACTTAATGCATATCTTAATTTTACAGTGATTTTTGCAAGCTCACTTGAGACCAGTTTCTTTCTGAGAAAGAAGGAAAGACTGCATTTTTCTATAATGAAGACAATGGATTTAAAAATAGAATTTAGACAGTAAATGCTGCCAGCCAGCAATAGTCAACACATAGAAGTTAGTCCAGAAAGACTACCACTGAAGAATTCCTACTAAAGGGAACAGAAGCTCTGACCATAGAAAGGTTAGAGTACTGGTCCTGTGATTTTGGGGGGATACATCCCATCTTGAAGAAGGATCTGTAATACATAAGAATTATATTTATTTTTTCCTCTTATGAAAAGGCTTTTTCATTAAGAAAAAGAAAAAAAAAAGTATATATATCAAGGATATATATATATATATATATCAAGGAGGTAATTACACAGCAATCCGTAACACAGTATCAGTAAATCTGGCTTTGGCTCAGTGAGAATCATAAGCAGTAACAAACAGAATATACAAAACTATACTGTATGTGAAGCAGACCAGGTCCTATATTTTATTCATAAATGGATAGGATGGATAAATGGTTTTAAATGGTTTTGAATACAAAGTCTATAGTAATACTATAGGGTTTTTCCAAACTCTGATGATACAAATTCTACTAAACTCTTTAACTCTTTCTCTGCCCCTGAGTATGGATAAGACAAAGGAGATGGAGATGGGGAGGATGTGTAGAGTATTATGTTGAAGGGCCAACATAATAAGTTAGCCAACACCAGTCTGGATTCCATGAAATTAGAGCAATGGTAGCTAGGTAGGAATTTATCAAATTTGTAGCCCTCTTGGAGAACTCTGGGAAACCTGCAATAGTGAAATAAAAGCAGACGGAGTACAGACATACATGTAATCAAAGGCTGAAAGCCAAAAGCCTATATCAATGGTCAGGATAAGACAAGCTCAGAATTACCCTTGTGGATTTTTTGCAATATACGCATTTCTTGCTGCTCTTGTCTCTGTGTTTTGTATAAATATGAATGTGATTAATCATGACTTAACCATTCTTCTTAACATACAGCAGAGAACAAATATCTAGTTGAAAAATAGAAATGTTCCATTTCAACTTTTTAAAGTCAGGAGTTAATAAATATCATCATCTTATAGATGAAATGGATGAGAATAACTAATCTCGTATTATTAAGGCTTTATTTGTTAAGGTGTAAGAGATGCTACAAAATTCATCTGCATTATCATTTAGAACTGAAATTCAAAGGTTATGTAGAAATGTTCAGTTCAATAATATAGCCTTTTGTCTGTGCATTTTGTTAGAGCTGGACAAAAATAGGTTTGTTTTCAGATAACCTAAATCATAAGAAGTTTTATTTTTAAATTTCCTCTTCAAAATATGTTCTATAGTTGATCACAAGAGGGAGACCACATCATCATATTTTCTCTCATTGTTTCAGATTTTAAAAACATCCAATCTGAATCATTTTGGACCAGCTCTATTCTTTAGTCATTCCATGGTCATTCACTGAAAAGCATTGACAGATAACTAACTTTTTTTTTCTGAGTTTGTCCAACCACTGAAATTTATAGATAAAGATAGCCAATCCAATAAACAAGATTGAACAATGCAAAGGCTGTTGGAAAGAAGATTCGAGAATAGGAGTCAATTTTTGCAATACGAATGTGTATCCTTCCTTCTCTCCAAGATCCTGTGCGGCAGTCTTCAAAACAACAAAAGAAGCTAGCACAGTCTTTCCCTTCTAGGCACTCATATCCATAATCATCATCACGTTCGGGGAGATGATTAATGTTATTAATTGGAATCAGTGTTGATCCAGGTCGAACAGCAATTGCAGGTGGTTTCTTAAGAGAAAAAAAAAAAAAAAAAAGAAAAAGAAAAGAAAAATACAGTGTTTGTTTTTGTTCTACCTTCTCATCAAATAATTCCATATGCTTCCCACAGCAAGGGCCACTATAAGCACATTAGCACAATATAAAGAAATTCAAATATTGCAGAAAACAGTTTTGGGAGCTTTGCAAATTATGAACTGCTCTATATAATCAGCTCAGGCATGCAAATATCATAAATGTTTTTCACCTACCACAGTGAAAACTGGGTTTTGATGGGATCTGGGAATACTGGATAAATAGTTACACAGATAGGGTTAGCTGATCCCATCTACACAACACTGTTCTTCTACACAGAAGGACATTTTGAAGTCAGCCACAGCTTGGTGACTGGGTCATAAACAAAACCATGGGCAGGATATAAGCACCACTACCAAGGGAATGATGGCTTTACTATCATTTGGAATCTTTAGTACTTGACTGGGCTTGTTTCTGGATTTTCACTAAAGGAAGATAGTGGGATCAGAACAGCATTACTGTTGGATTTTTGCAGGCTGATACACACAAGGCCAGGTTATGTCATCTAACCCTCCAACGCTAAATCCCTAAATATGCCATGCTGAAAGAAACCAAGACATAAGGCTCCTTAGGAGAATGCCATGAAGTCAGTGAAAATGATTAATTTAGTTCTTAATTCTTACTTCTACTTTCCATGTGCATAACTCAACCTTCTTGCATTCTCATTAAAACTGAGTGTAACAGGTGTTAAGATTCATAAATAACTTTCACAGAAATAATCTGTGTGCCTTATTACCTATTACATATGTTGTTTGTTACTACCTTTCTTGTGACTTTCCACCTTCCTTATACTTGCACTACCACTGCCCATCTTTCCTCTTTTTATTATTTTGTTTCCATGTAGCTCTTCACTCCTTATCCTTGTTTTCCCAAATATTCCAAAATACATTCTCCCTTTCTCTGTCTGTCCTTGTTTTAATTTCGAAATCCCATAACCTTTTTACACTATTCTGTAGTCATCTTGTTCACTCATTCTTTCGTTCCCATCCCACTTCTGGCATCTCCTAAAATTTTCAGACTGAATATGGTGGTTACATCAATACTGCTCTTACTTTTTTTTTTCTTCTTGTCATACAAGGAATCAAAACAGGAAATAATGCAGTCATTAACTGAGTTTACAATGAAGTAATCAGCAACTCTCTCTACTGAAACATATAAAAGAATCCTTCATATAATTTATACATGATAGGAAAGTATGAAAGTATACATGATAGGAAAGTATGAGAAATGTATGAAAAGCAAGAAGCCACATCATATCAATTCTTCTGATGCTTTAGAGTCCAATTGTCCCACTTCCAGGAAATTACTTTGGCCAGTACACAGATGTCTATACATTGTTAAAGGAGGAACTTTATTGCTGCAGGGACATTTTACTACCATATCCCAAGGGGACAGTGTTAAAACTGTGCAGTATCCTCTATATTTTTAATAGCCTTTGTAACTTTATTTAATAAGCATTTTTACCAGAGGAAGATTCATACAGACTGCTGCTTCAACACTTTTTAGACATGATGACCTAGGAGGTAATTATCATCCTAAAGGACCTCATTATTCTTTTCAGTTATGATAAAATACTGACAACAATAAAACAGCAGCTACATATGAGACATTACAAACAGATCTTATTTTTGTAAAATGTAACATTAAATTTGTTTTGAACTTACAAAACCATTACTTTTTTGAAATATATACGGAAATATGTCTATTTAATATAGGCATGCCTATTTCTGACTTTACAAGAATTTTCTGACTGCTGGTTCCACCAATGTAAGACTGATGGAATGATTCATTTTCATTTATGAAATAAAATAGGAATTCCCAACTCAGAAACATCATGGTAGGAAAAAAAAAAATGATGGTACAACTTTTTATTGTTGACGGGACAAATGATTTCTAATTTTCTGAGAATTGATACCTCATCTTTATCTGTGCCTAATCTGGAGAATATCTCTCCCCCAAAATAGATATAGATTATAAAAACGTTTTTTTTGCAATCAAAACCAATCATTATGCATTACACGGGATTAAGACCACAGTAAAGAATGCAGTGAGACTTCATAATCAATGTGTTAATTCAACACCAAAAGGGGAAGGAATGTTTTATATTTCAAGGGTACATTGATCACATGACCTAACTCACCACTCAGATTACTATAGTAGTCACCTGCTCCCAGGAATTACTGACATATCACAGGAAGACATTCAGAGAAGGGAAACAAGGAAATAGTCCATTCCACAGCAAAACGGAAGAAAAACTAAAACAGTCCTATAAGAAGAGCAGCCAAGGAAATCCTTACTTTTCAATAGCTTGTACCTTCAGAATCCCAGCAGGATTCTCCAGCACTCAGTGATCGTTTGCTCTGGAGTTTCTTCTGTTGCTGGAAATATTACCAGCATTCTCCCTGCCATCTGTTCAACAAATCCTATGTTATACCACCATAGTAGATTGAAACTAGCTTTTGATGTACATGTAGAATTTTGTAGAGGTGCCCTGAGAGAGGCAGAAAGAGTGCCATCTTACAGGCCTAGCTCCTTACAGGGAATACATAACATGTACATAAAACAATGTAATAAGGAAAAGGAGGTGGGGTGAGGGGATAAGATGTGAAAAAGTTACAATGTTTTTCAAAATATCAAATGAAATCTTTAAGGTAAATCTGGAGATCAGGAAAGGACAAAACTAAAATAAATTCCTTAGCAATTTGGCCTACTGAGCCCAACATGGATCCACATCAATGAGAGAAAACACATCTAGGATCCATAACCTATGAATTTAGAGATTACAAAGCAGAGCTCAAATCATCAGAAAGGTGAATAGTCCAGAAAGAACAAAGAAACTTGTAGTGACAACTGGTAACTTGAACAAACAAACAAACAAACAAAAAATCATCTAACCTTTTTTTTTTTCCATTTTTGGCATAAGTGGGTTTATGGTGTGTGGCAAAGTAGAATACAATACTTCACAATAACATGAACTCATGTTATTGGCAGAGACTGGCAGGGACTTTTAAAAAAAAAAGTATATAGAGTACTATATGTGTACTGTGCATGTACATAACTATTAATACTGCAGATAAAATTCTACATACAGTGACAAGCATTTATAATACTCTGCAGTAAGATGAAAACCAAATTAGTTTGAATTAACAATAACACATGTACAAAAGACAGCCATCATCTGTGGAGCTCATAACATAGGTGATACATTCACTTCAGGTAAAATGGAAACCAGAACAAGATCCACAACTTATTAAGTTTAATCTTTCCTGCCCAAACTCATTATCATTACTAATGTGGATTTGCATAAGCCAATTCATAGTACCTTTCTTGATTTATGCCAGAACATATTTTGTAAGATAATAATATTGCAGTAATCATTTGTAAAATCTCACCATTACTTCACAAGATCTTTTGTTACACCTTTTCGGCATCAGTTCTTGGAATAATATTTTATTGCATTTTGAAATAGAAATAAAACTTATGCAAAGAAATTTTTCTTAGGAAAACACACCTGTGAATAAGAACTTTTCAGAAAAAAATAAAATGACTATTTGAATTAAATTAACTAAATTGTGTAGACTTTTCTTTTTTAATTGCACATCCATAATTGCACAAAAGAATGAATAGTAGTCTCTGACAAAGAAAAAAAAAAAAAAGAAAGAAAGAAAAAAAGAAGAAATAAATCCAGATCTGTAATTGTGTGACTTCCTATTGATTAACCAGATATTTTGTTTAATTGCTCTGTTTGGAGCAAGAAATTTTAGATTTTCTTAAATTTTAATAAAAACTTTATTTATTGAATGAAAATACTTTACATCTAAATATATTCAATTTGACACCCCCCTTTTTTTAGCCATTTATCTAGTATGCTCTTAAAGCCATAATGTGCTGAAGCATGTTTAAAGAACTGTACGTGAAAATATTTTTTTTCACTCCTTAGAAATAAAAGGCATGTTTTAAGAACAAAGTAAAACACAACTGAAAAGTGTTTTGAGTATTATTATTACTTCTAATCTTAGTCCAAATGTCAGCTGTTTATTCGATGTGTCTTAGTTTATATTTCACTATTCTTCTATATTTTGCATTATTTTATGTGTGGAAAATCTCAAAGCACTTGTCAGATTATTGCACAAATGGCTGATATAGGAAGACAAGTTCTGGAAGGTATCAGTGTTCCATTTCTTGAGAGTATACTTTCAAACCACTTCAATGTCTGCTGATTTGCCACCAGCTGATCTTTATTTTCTCACTGGTTTGAATATGCAGTAATCCTCCTCTCTTCACTTTTTCCTTGTTGCGTGAGCTGTGCATACACCCATTTCTGATCCCTGATCCCTAAGTGTTGTAGAGACTTCGTTGCCACAATAATCTCAAACTGAACTGAAACTATACTAACACTGGGATGTACCCCAAATTCTGCAGCCTCTATCATTAAGCAAAGACAGTAAGTTTAGCTGTGGCCCTTGCTAACACCTACCTTCCATGCAGTTGCTCTTACCACTAACAGCGAGGAGGTTTTAGGTCTACATTTTCCAATTGACTTCCAATTTTCTTGTCTGGGATTCCCTGAGGATCATGGTGATACCCGACAAAGGCAGGATAGTGTAGTACTAACCTTTCACCACTAGTCTTGTATATACCAAGCTGATACTCTTGGACCAGCTCACCATTATTAGTTGTCCATATGAAACAAAAGGACTCTCACTTCCCTGCTATTAAGCCACAGCAGTTCCACAGAGCTGCCATAAAACAATTTCCCACAATAGCACTGCTCAAAACAGGTGCACCAGCACTTACTGACGTGAGTCACAAAACAGATGTGGTTCATACCAGGATTTCTGCAATTCCGTATCTGGACTTCTGTAATTTCATTTCATCTTCTGTTTGATCTTACACAGGTGTCATTCAGCCCTCTCCCAGGAAAGACAACTGATTTGTCTATGCTACAACTTGTTTGGATGAAATGATCCAAAAGTGGGCTTTATAGCTTTGTCCTTCCTTTTATTCGGTCCCAAAGAAGACTAGAATAAAGCCTCAACTAATAGGACTACTGTTCTAATGAATAAGCTATTTAATTCCTTTACCTAAATATTTTAGTAATTTAAAGATGAGTTTTAAATATTTGTACTGTCTTCCAACAATGGATTTTTTCAGAAATTCCAATATTCTAACCATGTGAACAGAAATTCTCTTAAAATAGAATAGTATTTACTCCTATGATATCTGGGCATTCATACAAGAAAAACCTCAACTGGTAAAAAAACAGCAGATTCATTTTACCAGAAAGAAACATGGAAGTAAATGAAAAAATTACTTAAAGTACTGTTTATGAAGTGAAAGAGGGTCAGAATTCTAACTGGTAATAAGCAGTTTTTCCTCTGCAGTGTTAGCAAGGTAAGACCCAAATGACATTAGGTGATACAGACCCTAACAAATCCTCACAGCTTCGGTCCATTTACATTATCTTTGTTGCTAAAATCTTACCTGTGGCTCTTTGACAGATGTTGTTTCCAGAAATGCTTTGCCCCTACAGAACTCTCCATAGGCACAAGCTCCATGGGCAGCTGTGGAAGCACCATGGGCATAGCATGGAAAATTACATCAAAACAACCATCTAGGGTGTTTTAGACTGGTGTTATCACCCACATATGAGTGGAATGATCAAAAGTTTGCTTTTTAGTAGTATTTACAGAAAACGAATACAACCCCCCACTTATATAAAAATAATTAAATAAATAAATATATAAGCTGTCTTTGAAAAAGTACCTCAAAATTAATATGATAATAAAATCAAGAACCATTTTTTTCCTTCTTAATCATTTAGTTAAACTTACTGATGGCTTAGGTTTTGCCTTCTTATCTTTTCCTTTGTCCCCTTTTCTGTTGCTGGTAAAATAATGCAAGGTGCCATATTCCATCAAGGCAGCAAACACAAAAATGAAGCAAACTGAGACAAAAAGGTCCATTGCTGTCACATAGGAAACCTTTGGGAGTGACTTCCTGGCAATTGTACTCAATGTTGTCATGGTCAGCACCGTTGTAATGCCTGTTTGATAACGAAAGTAAGAAAGACAACAGAAAAGTAAGGAAATATATGAGTAATTTGATCATATTGTTACTATATATATATAAATACACTACACAAATTAGCCCTTAATTCATTCATGAGGCATACAAGAACTGAGCCACAACAGAATTCATCCTAGATCACATTCATACACACTGTGGATCCAGTGCCCACCAGGGGATCATTCAGAAGGTAGCACATTTCACCTTTAATTTAAATCCTTCCCATATTCAACACACATCAAAGAAAACAAGACACTGATAAAGTTTGTATAATTTTATAAATGTTACAGAATGCATGTGTAAAACAAGTACAATAGGCAAAGTGGTACAAATAAGCACACATTTTATAAACAGGTAAAAGACCCTTGGTTCTTGGTAGTTTAAAATGTCTAAAAACACACACAGATAAAATAAAGGTGCATTATATATCAATAATGAAAAATAATAACAACAACAACAAAAACAGAAACAATAAACTTTCAGAAAGCATCAGAAAAAGGAATTCGGTACTTGAAGGAGACTTATAAAAAAGATGGGGAGCAACTCTTTGCTCAATCGGATAATGACGGAATGAGGGGAAGTGGATTTAAACTAAAAGAGAGGAGATTTAGATAAGAAGTTGGGAGGAAATTCTTTGCTCAGAGGGTGGTGAGGCACTGGAACAGGTTGCCGAGAGAGGTTGTGGATGTCCCAAGACCAGGTTAGATGAGGCCCTGCACAACTGATCTAGTGGGTGACATCCCTGCCTAAGCAGGGGGGTTGGAACTATAAGATCTATGAGGTACCTTCCAACCCAAGGTATTCTATGATTCTATGATTATATGGTTATATGATTATATGAATAATGTTTACAACTATTTGCTTCTGATTTGTAGTAGGTCAAATTAGATGACTCTCTTAGCCTTTCTGGTCTCATTCTTTGTTACTAGATATTTTTTCAACACTTTGTCTTTAGTAATAGAAAATGTTTCCCTTTATTTACTTATATATAGGTTAATTAAATGAACAAGCTGGCCTTGGTAGAAATTTGCTTAGTATCTCAACAATACCCCTTTCACTGGTTTAACATTTAGAAGGTGTTAACACTTTCTTCTTATATGTGATGCTTCAGGGAGATGCAAAGCTTTTTCATAGTAGTCCAAAATTAAGATGTGACCTTTACTTTGGAGAGCAATACTTGAACACACACATAATTTGTTACTTACATGTGCAGGCTTATTGAAAAAAAAAAAAAAAAAAAAAAAAGTTAAAAGTTTTTGTTTGTTTGTTTGTTTTTTTTAGTGCTATACCAGTCTATGGCTTTCTATGGCTTTTCAATCAAAGCATGGAATCAGGAGTTGCTATTGACTGATGATGCAGGAGGGAAGCAGAGGTGATTTTGCAACAGATTTTTCAAAGAAATTACTTGCCTAAAAGGGCACACAGACAACCACACAGTTTTTCAGTAGTGTGCTTTGCTCCCAGTAGATGTTTTTGAGAATCAATTAGACATTACTCTGCAAAATTATGTATCCAAAGGCCTTTAATCATTGCAATCCTTCTGCTTTGGGAAACCCCAATCTGCCAGGATCTTCCAGCATGTATGCAAGAAAAATTACCAAGCAGTTTATATATACCTCATTTATATATACCATTTTATATAGACCCCAGCACAGACTCCAGGTTGGAAGTGACACCCACTATTCCCTCTGCTGGCTTCTGTTCCAAAAGGGTGAAAGATGACATGGACTTTTCCAGTCCTCTCCGCTCTCTGGAAGGAAGCAAACCTTCCACAGCATCACAACTACTTGCCATGATGCACCTTACTTAGTTTTGGATTTCTTTTCTTAATTTATCAGTCCTTATTTTATTTTTTTCCCTTTAAAATTACATCTGTTTAACGTCTAAACTCCTTAACTCTTTTTTTTTTTCTTCATCAGGACGCCTGCATTTGAGAAAAGTCATCCTACAATCTGCCAAACATTGGCTTTTGATTATTCACACAAAAGGAACTCAGAGTTAACTGCAGGGAGCCATAAATATGATATGGCAAACATTTGTAGTACATCTCAAGTAGATGAAAGACAGTACTGCTGAAGTGACAGCATGAAAACTCTAGTTTCAACATGAGATCCAAAGCAAATTTGCTGAGTTAGTGGTACAGAAAAAGCACTCTGTAAAAAGAACAAATTAGATACTAGCAGGATACCAATATGACAGGTTTTTTTTTGTTACAGCTAGAATCCTCTTAGACTGTCCCCAAAATGATGCCCAATGATTACAAAGTAAAAGAAATTTTATAATACATTTATTAATATCAAGAGATAATTTCACTTATTTATTCAAGATTTTATGCTCTCTTCACTAACCTTCACAGAACTTTTGAATAGCACATATGTAAGATCCAAGACTTGGATTTTCTTCCCTTACCTCTTAGGCTACTAGCCATGCTCATTTTTGCTTAATTTCTTTCTTGACTCATTAATCTTCCAGTCCCGACTGGACTGTAGTCCATTTTCAGTGGAAAGGCAGGGAGTTTCCTACTTCTAGTAGGAAATGCTCCTACCAGGTGGGAATGGTGTATTCAAAACCCTTTAAAATGATGAAGATTTCTCACATCCTAAGATGTGAGAGATCTCAACTCTTGGCCTTTCCAAAAAGAAGGGGTCATACTGCCATTACCAGTTTTACTATAATCACCCACCAGTGCTAAGCTGTGAATTGCTAATGTGCATCCTATGCCTTCCATGCATCTCCGTCTATTACGAATATATCGGGACTATGACACTTCTACAAGGCAGTGTATGAATCCCAGATGATCACATGTAGGAGGCTAGTGCCACACTAATCAGTTCAGCCACGATAACATTAACACAGAACTAAAACTGTAGTGAACTTGCTACATTTAAGTAATATCTGTAATAAAATCAATGTCCCAAAGGACAGAAACAGAAAATTTGCAATTTAATGTGCTTAAATGCTTGACGTTCAACTTTGGTTGCAAATTTTCTCTCTTATCTTGGACTTAAGAGAGCAATTTGTTTTCATTATTAAAACAAACAAATAAACAAAACAAATTCACCAAACACACACACATAAAATAAAATAAAAATAAAATAAAATAAAAACAAAAACATATCTTCACAGTTTTCTGGAGAATGGAGATGTCAAAAAAAAAAAAAAAAAGAATATAAAAAAGAAAAATATATATTTATGTGAACAGCAGCATGTCCACAAGGCCTGGGTCAATATTTCCAGATTTTCATTCTCAACACTCCCTCCTTGTGCTGTGCTACTACAGCTGGATCCTCATACCTTGCAGTTCAAGAGAAAGGGTAAGCAACGGTCATAACCTGAAGGGGAATAAACTGTGGTTAATTCAGTGCCCTCTGCAGTTTTGTATTCCTGCGGAGTACCAGAACCTTCAGAGGTGACAAAACACATCCTTACCCAGAGATGTCCTTGCAGGAACTGCATCCTTATTGATCCAAAATGACACCCATGAAAGAACAACTGTGAGAATACAAGGAATGTATGTCTGGATAGTGAAATATCCCATACGTCTGCTGAGATCAAAGAAGATTGTCATAATAATATAATCACCTACAAATTAAAAATAAATAAATAAATAAATAAATAAATAATGCATTCTTGGATGACATTTAAAATGGGTTTTAGTTATATCTTCTTCTATTATATTTGTTCTACATTGACATTACATGCAATAAAACTTCACACTTTGCCTTACCAGACAGAGTATGAGAAATTTCAGTTGTATTTCGTAACCCTACAAATGCAAACTGGTACAATCTCCAGTATTTTGGATCTGCTACTTCAACAGAGGTTTTCTTCCATTTGTATTCTATTTCATTTCTGGGATATCCATCTAGAACAAAACAGAGCAAATCAAGTATTCAGCCATGGTATATATCAAAGCATGTTTTGTGATTTCTGAAGTTTTTTATAAACTAAACTAGGGCAATATATAAAGTGCATCAGAAAGTGAGAAAATCTGTACTCCACCTGATACACCTAACAATAACAAAATATCTAGCCTAACTTTTAAGTCTAGCTAGTGTGATCAACCAAAAACAGTACAAATACAACTGGTTAGGAAATACCTTCACAAAATTTTGGAGCTCTGACATGAAAAACTGTCTCAGAGTCATCACTATGTATCAATATGTAATATACATTAAGTTTAATAGACTACAAAGAGCTTAAAAGTATATATACACTTGCTAATTTATATGTTGGTAAAATTTCAGTTTCCTAGCATGGATTTTTGTGACTGGAGTCACTGTTCAGTAATCCAACTGGAACTGCAACCTTCTTGATTTTCATGTGTTTCACATGTTGTTCCAAATTATCCAAATTTTATTTAATCATCAGAGCTACCAAAGTTAATTTAGCTAGAAATATTAAAAAAGAAAGTGCTAAATGAAAATATTCATTTAAGAAGAATCACTGAAGTTTGATTTCATTGCCTATTAGATTTCACATTTAGGAATAAATTGTTTAGCTGTGTTCAGGTTGTTTAGGATTCTTTTGCCAGTAATAGAACAATTCCCTTAGGAACAGTATATATATATTTAACATAGTTTATATTAAAAAAATAAGTCTGTATGTTGTATTTGTTGCTCATATAAGTAAGTTCGACTGAAAGTAGAAGGAGTCGTTATATTGATTTAGCATTTACAAGAACAGGCTGAAGAGAGCAGGTCTTTTTGCTCTTAAGTATACCACATGGAACCAATTCAAAGCTGGCAAGTATGGCAGGCGTTAAAAAATAAAGTTCTTCCAGGAAAATAGATTCCTATTAACTGGAATGGGCACTGCATCACATTCCTAAGCAATATGATTATTTTTAAAGCTGCAACTAAATGAAACACATGTAATTCAACTCATTCATTATTGCATTTAATAATGCAATAAATAATACGATAAATCAAAGCAAATTATAAACAAGTCTGTTATTTTTCCTTCAGTGCAAGGCGTTAAAAAGTAATTACTTGCTCTCTTGTTGCCAAAACTTAGGGAAATTTAAAGCCTGAATGTAGAAAGAGAAGAAAACAAAGTATTGTACCACCTACAGCTTGAAAATTCCAGTGGACAGGAGTGTTCATCCATAGGAAAGTTATGAAGCTGAAGATAACATTCAGCATTAATTGTCAGTCTAATTAGAAAATGAAATTAAAAAGAAAGAAAGAAAGAAAGAAAGAAAGAAAGAAAGAAAGAAAGACAGAAAACAAAAAAGAAAAAAAAGAAGAGAAAAAAAAAAAAAGGAAAAAAATAAAAAGACAAGGGAGATTATATTCAAGCATCCAGACATCCAGAAACTTCAGACTAGATAGTAAAAAGCATGCACTGAAATCAGTTTTGCCACTTAATGGACCTTATGGATAGCCAACTGTGTATCTGCAAAAAGCATCCACCATGACCTTTGAAGAACAAAAAACTATCATCACATGCAGCCTGAGGACCTGTGTTGTTTCAATTGCCATATCAAGTCAATTTCAAAAATGTCAAGTGATTTGAGGGATTTCCCAGATGTCTCTTAAAGAAAAAGGGGTAAAAGAATGGGGATGAAGGCAGGGCAAGGAGAGGAGTTTATTACACCAAAACTTTAACATAGGGCCTGCTCTACGCTTATGGAAGAAGCTCTGGTAAAGACAGTAGTATGGACTGGAAAGAGCAGTCATAACATTTCTACTCATCCAATGTCTAAGGCACTTAAGTTATTCAGGTAGCTAATAAACATTTTAGAGGCAGTTTTGAACTCATACTATTTGGACAACAGAAATATTTGCTGCTTTTAAAAAACACTATTACAGATTTCCAAAGATCTTCCAAGCAACGAATGAGAAAAACAGTTCAACTAACTTTCACTTGAAAGCTAGATTAAAGGGTTTCACTCTGAACTGCCTTCTTTGCATTTAGAATAGTTCCTTGTCTGATGGTACTACAGTGAAGAAAATCAGAATTTCTTCTAAAATAAGACTTTGAAAATTAACATGAAAATTAACAAAATGCTCATGCTGCTGAAGTGTATGCAATACTTCCATACCAGAATAAAAGAGATAGGAAAAGGGTTGTTCCATGCACTACCATAAAACACCATAAATCTGTGAATTAAGTAGTTATTCTACCCAAAATGTCATTAGGTTTCCCAAAATCTGACCTGACCAAGAGAAAGATATGGGATTATAAGGTAAAGTGTAGTTCTTTTTATACACCTTGGGCGGGAGGGGGGGGGGGGAGGAGAGGGGGAGGAGGGAAGAGACCTCTGGAGATGCTTTTCAAATTTACCAACTATGGTATATGCATTTATTGCCTTTGCTTTCCATTTTAAGTCTTTGGATAATCAAGCACTTAAAGAAAAAGACAACAAAACCAGACTTCTTTAAAAGCAATGCAACCAGATCTGGAATCACTGAAGGGTGCAAAGGAATGAGTAAGGTCTAAGCTCAGAGTAAACTCAGTAGGCCAGAATGTAAGAGTAACTGAGCATTAAAGAATCAGCACACCTTGAGTTAGGAAAGAGTGGTGGTGCAGGGGAATCTGGAGTACTGTCAGACTTACTTTTTGTTGCTTCAATCAGCAACCTATGGTTTTCTCACTGTTATTCCACTTAAGGCTAAAATCAGACCATAATCTCAACTATACAGATGTTTGCTTTTTACAGTGCCAGGTGAATACACAGTTTTGCTCTTTTATTACTAGCTTACTGCGCTTTATAGCTCAAACTCCAGCACAATAACTCTAAAGTATTGCTTTGGGAGAAAGTATTGCTTTTCACATTTTTTGGTTTGTTTTGCTTGTTTGATTGATATATTAAACTGTTAAACTAAACAGACAAAGGAAGGGTAAAGTCTAAGTATAAATTTTTCGCTAAAAATAAATAAATAAATAAATATCATGTTAACAAAAGAGACTATATAGGGATTTTTATAAACACCAGAAGAATAAACTGTTTACAAAGTGCTCTCCCAAGGTGTTCATATACCTTCAAATGAAGCATATTAAGAAAAAATTAAGGGAACAGAATCTCTTTAAAACAATACAATTCTTCTTTCTTCTGTTACAGAATACTTTTACAAAATACTCATACAACACTAACAGCCTGCATATGAAAACATCATAAATGAGAAAAAGAAAGTAATTTAAACTTTCTACTTTAAATAGTAATCATGATAGTAATAACTGATGGAGAGCAGAATCAGATTTACGGCATCTTTTGCATTCACTAACAGCTCCAAAACTAGCAAGATTTTTTAGACTTTCTTGCAAAATGAAAATAAAAACTGAGAGATGACCCTAAAATCCTTTCTGTAGACTAAAGCTATTCAAGAACTCTTTGATAAGTGACTAAAAGATCAATACAGATAACCTACATGCAAAACTTTAAATCATCTAAAGCATGCCCCATTTACCAAGCAGATTAATTGCCAACATGTTTGCTTATGCCAAATTTGGAGGAACAGGTTTAAAAGCTTTTTAGGGTAAACACGTAAAGTAGTATAGGCAGAACTTGGTCCTTAGAATTAATTAAACTTTTTATGATTTTTATTTTTTGAAGAACTCATATTTTCCTGATAGAATATAATTGGGTGAAAATTAAATACTGAACTGCTTAGCACAGAAATGTGTTAAATGATTTATGACTAGATCTGTGTTAGCTTAATGACAGACCACCACTATTATGTGTTACTATATATGTTACTGACTGATATATTGACTTATGTTACTGGCTACATAATATCTTTTTTTTTTTTTTTTTAATCCTGTCTTTACCTAAATGTAATTAAAATTTGCTATCCATTTCAATTGGATCTACCCAATGATCTGCGCGATATATTTCAGTACTAACTATTTTACTAACTATTTTATGTTTTTCATGATCAAATAATTTATTCTTTTTCTCCTTAGAAAATTTTCAAATTCCTGTGGTCCAAGAAAGAATTGCCAGAGACATGCTCCATATTTTTTATTTTCATATTCTTAGCTATAACAATTCTGTTTGTTTTTTTGTTTTTGTTTTTCTACTTATTTATTAAGAACCCACCTTAGAGTGTATAATACTCTTCCATCACTCCAGATTCGAAGTAAGCGATTTGGAGTTGTAATCCAGTGAGCATCAGATTTCCTTGAGTTCCGGAAGAAAGTGTCTGGAATCCAAATTTTTCCAACCATATTGCTGTTAAGCATAAGCACTTTCATTGAGCTGTTAAATTTTAGACGACTGTCATACCAAGTCTGGGCAAAAATTATATCTATGGTGTATTCCTAAAAAACAAACAAACAAACAAACAAAAAAAAAAGCACAGAGAAATATCTATACCTATGTATATATTTACCAAAGCCTGCAAGTCAATAATTTGTAATTCATATATAAATCCAAGGCCACCTCTTCTATTCTCTTTTGTATCATTTGTGTTGCACTCGGCTGCCCCAAGCTAGGAAATTACAGACTGATGAAAGGCACATACAGCCTTCTGCCTCTACCTCCTCTCCCCTGAAACAGAAGGGAGGAGCTAAGGAGTAGGAGACCTGATAGAAGCTTGTTGTAACTTGGTGGTCCTCAGAAAACACAACGAATTCTGGGGCCACAGACAGAAATTTAAGATCAGCCTTTATAATTCTGGGCTAGACTACATACTACATACTACATATAGACTACATACTACAGACAGAGATTCTCCATTGCTTAAAAAGCAAATCAAAAAAAAAAAATTCTTACGTTTTTCCTTTCCCCAAAAAACTTCACAACATATGCTTTAAGGTCCTTCAAGAAAGCTACAATCATCTTCAACATTCAACAACAACAACAAAATAATAATAAAAAATCATCCAATAGCCAAATTTCAGATTTTGAAAAATTCTTGGATATACAGGAAGTGAACAACTCAGATTGCAGAATTACCTGTTACTATCTGCCTTATATATTTACTACATACACACAAAATGTGTGACATTATCATAGTCAGGAAAGGAATTTCCCTAAAGGAACTTGACATTACTTATTAGATCCTGAAGAAAACTTTTTGGATAGAAAGCAAACTCCTCAGTAGACTTTTATGGATATAAAATAAAAGTGGTGAATAATAATAATAATAATAATAATAATAATAATAATAATAATAATAATAATAATAATAATAATAATAATAATAAACAACTTAGCCTTTTAATGAAGCAATTCTTGACACAGTAAAGAGGGAGATATGCACTGGAATAAAAAATTCATAGCATCTGCAAAGAATCCCACCATTTGCTCCTCCACATCACATAAAGAAGCGAAGCTTCCATTGTGTTTGTCACAACTCCAGACCATGGCTCTGATCTAAACATCAATAGCCACTCCATTTTGTGGCAGATCTTTCCTACATGGCTGTCCCATGACACCTCCAATGAACAACTCAACATCTCTTTTCAGAGCTCAGTCTGCTGGGAAATAGTACTGAAGACGAGACTTAGACACATTGTGTTTGTTGGTCACCTGTCATTCATGAGGGGAAAAGGGAGAGACAATGGTTCAAATGCCTGCTTAAGCCAAACGATGTGCTACGAGTTTACTTGGCCAATAAAAATGCATGTTGCAAATAGTCAATGGACTCCTCACCCAGTTCTCCAAATGATAAAAGCCACCTCCCAAGAAAGCTTGTGAAATTTTCCACTCCATCCTTGAGAAGTGCAAAGATAGGTATTAGGACTGCCTAAACCTCTCTCAATTTTCCCGCCTCTTCATGTGGGAGAAGAATAGGTTTGGGATAGAATTCAAGAAGGAGGCTTGCCTCTGCTCTCTGGTCCACCTGGACTTTGGTAACTCATTCACTCACAGATTATAAATGATTAGTGTATGAGGCAAGCAGCAGGGGGACAGACGGGAACAAAAGGAGTAATTAAAAATGCATTTTAGGGATGACTTCACTCAAATTCTGCTTATTCCTTGAGGGGCTTTGCCACCAGGGGAAGATTCTGCAGGTCAGAACAAGTACTTGATTATTTTATTTCTATGAAAGTCCTTCAAGACAGCTGTGAAAACCCAGGTCTTGTTTATCCTTAAAATTCTGTTTTCTGTGTTCACCTACAGTAGTTACAAATGGAAAGGAAACTTGCTTTGGTCTATTGTAAATGAATACCCAAGACAGTACACTAAAGAAGTGCTTTAATGGACTTAAATGGAACAGCATGAACAAAGATTTATTTGTTGCCTTAACAGTACAAATAGGAGAAAAAAAAAAAGTCAGTGAGTGAAATCAACAGAAACAAGCAAATGTATGAAAAGAGCAGGCTGACTGAGTTTGAAGGTGTTAACCTAAGCAACCACTTCACAGTGGCACTGTATTGTCTAAAAAAATGAAAAAAAAAAAAAGGAAGGAAACTCAGGTTGCCATAGAATACCAACCACCCTAAATTAGAGGATCTCACAGATGATTTTGAATGTACAGAGCAAAGGAACAGCCTCAGTAGACCCAGATGCTTGGATTCTACTATTTTTCAGTATTAAATTAATTTAATTTTATTTTTTTTATCAGAACTGTGTATTACAGGAGTTGTTTAAACAAAACTCGTATTTTCTCATTAAAAGGGGAAACAGGGGTCCCTAAAATATGTTGAAAATGCAGGTAGAAAAATCATTATAATAAAGCATTTAGGTATCTTCTCTAAAAGTACTTTGTTTCCAGAATGAGATGAATAAAATCCCCATCTTTGTTTATATGCCATAATAAAAAGCACAACGGCACATCAGATTTATACAATTTTATTTTAGTGCAGCAAATCTTTCTGAGCAACTATTTTGCTTTCCTTGTTTCTTAGAAAAAGTGAAATTTAACACTCTTATCACTACCTCTATTAATCTTATAAAGCTCACAATTCAATGCCATTCTGTAACCATAAAAACTGGTTTACTATTTTCTCTTCCAAATGAAACTAATGATAAAATAGCCATGCAGAATAAAATGAAATCAATCTATGCCTACATTAGTCACAGCCATAGCAAAATGTGTGCTTATTCATATTTAGCCTCACATGGTTCAATAACCATGTCACATGTTAGCTCATATTTGGTATTTGATTAGATCACTGAACTCTTTTGCGCAGCTGGCATAAAGAGCCCACCTGCCTAATTATTTACAGATAACTGCAATCCTCTTCCATCTCTTTCCTCTCTAAAAGATCATAACAAACTCCAAAATCTGGGAATACAGTGACGAATCAGAGATTACCATTAAAGGGCCATGCAGTCACAACAATCTGTGAATACTGACAAGCAGGTGTGTAGTCTCAGAGAAAAACAAGTAAAAGCAACTATTTCAAATAGAGTAGGAACAGTTATTCTATGGGAATATATTGAATTCTCAAAATTAGTTTCTCAAAAAGAACAAGTACAGTTCAATTATAGTCAAGCAAGAAAATAGCCTGCTAATGTTTTTTATTGAAAAGTTGGGGGGGGGGGGGGGCAAATACCATTCTACAAGATTATTTCTTAGTATACCTACAACATGTCAATTCCAACATAACAATAGCATCAATAAGGATTAAAAAAATTACACGAAGAAGAAAACATTTTTTCTTGATTATTTTGTCTGGCAGTCTCACAAGTGATTTGATATTCCATAGTAAAAATTGTAGAAAAGTCAAGCAATGAGTAGCTAAATGTCCGGCTGGATTATGTTAACCACAACACATTTTCTTTGGCAACTGGAAAAAGTAGCCTAGCTTTCTGGGACTAAATACAATGCAGTGACAAGGCTCCCCCCCCCCCCCCCCCCAAAAAAAAAAAAAAAAAAAAAAATGGAGCTGAAATATTGTGTTATCCAACTACAGTAGTGCAATACAGTTCATTACTGATGAATTTCAGAGGGGTAAAAATAAATAATAAATAAATAAATAAATAAAAGCGTCTTCTTTTCATTTCTTCTTCACTCACAATAAACCTACCCTAGCTTTACTAGATTCAAAATTTTACATGAAGCACACCTGGATTTTTCTGCAGTGCCACAAGCGAATTCAGAAATCTATTTCAGAGGTCGTGCCTGAACTCAGTTCAGTCACTGAGTGTGACATGATTTCATCTTGTTTAGTTACCCATAATATTTTCAACAAGTTTCTTTATTCTATTCAGTTTTCTAATTCCTTTAAGTCAAACTTAATGTGAATGAGGCAGGGAATTCTTCAGGGAAAAAGAAATGAAGAAAGGGAAGCTAGAGAAAACACTCTATCGATCTATATGTTTTGACATGAAGTTATGTGATTTAATATCAAAGACTCAGGTAAGTGTGATGGTTAAGAGGTTTAGACAATGAAGAGTCATAGACAAACTGGAAACCAACCACATGCTCTCTCAAGAGGTAAGAGCCAACAAAACCATGAGGCACTAGCCAATTTATCTTCACCTTGTCATTGAGAAGCCAGTATGCTCTCATAGTCTTTACCTTTTCCCTCACCAAAATATCTCTGGACACCAATGCAGTGTCTTTAAGTACTTTATTCAAATACTTAGCTATCCTTGAAGTATAACTTCTCTTAACAAAAGTTTTAACATACGGTTGCTCTCCCTGGTGGGTTACTCTAAAAGCTGTTTAAATAAGGTTTTTGAGCTGCATCAGACTCAACCATGGTTTCAGAACTTGATCCCCATGTCTGGGACTGAATCAAAAGTAAAATTCCACATTTTAGTAAGCATTTTAGTTTGTTCACTTGTGGACCCTCCAATGAGATTGAAAAGATCTGACAAATCACAGTGATTCTGATATGTACATCTAATATTAAATTAATGATATTACAGTGGTGGAAAGGGTGGAGGTTGCAGGAAATACACTAAACAAAAGTGTAAACCATCTGCTCCCAGACTCTCTTAACCAGTCAGATTGTTATAATTATGCAGCTAATCACACTGGAGGGTATTACTATGACAACATATGCACAGGGGAAGTGTAAATATGGCAAATCATATCTACAGAAGGTGAGGCAGCACAGAAAGACCTATATAGCCATGATACAGAAGATATCCACTGCTCTTCACAACATAATTTGGCATCTGTGCTTCTCCAGTCCTTGTTTTGAACATGTAAAGTGACAGATGCAAATCAAAATGTGAAAAAAAGGCAAGATTTATTTGTTTTGTAGATTATAATAAAAATCTTGCCCACTAGTTAAAAGATTAGATAGAAAAATAAAATACTTCAGCAAAATCTCTGCTTTCATATGATCAGCTTAGATTTGGGACTTTTGAAGAAAGCATGAGAAGAGGAAGTAAACAATATGGATACATTTGCATA